GTGCTGTGGAGCAGCCTTGGGAGTTTAACCCCGAGGGTGCTGCTCACAGCTAAGGCCGCTACTGTCTGTGGGCTCCCAGTCCCCCTCACATTCCTCCAAAGTCCTACCAGGATCGAGTCAGTTTCCCTGGTTATGTCATCCTCGCAAGCTGCTTTTCTGTTGCTTTTCCCCAATGATTTGTCTTTATTTTAGTTGTAATTACAGTTTTGTCTTGGGAGATGATCTGTGTAGCTTCCATTCACTCTGCCGCCATTTTTTAATCCATGTCTCATTTTAATTATGATTTGTCTTGGTGTGTGTCTCTTTCAGTTCATCTTGATTGGGACTCTTTGTGTTTCCTGAATTTGCATGACTTTTTTCTTCACCAGGTTATGAAAGTTTTTACCCATTATTTCTTCAAATAGGTTCTCGACCCCTTGCTCACTCTCTTTTCCTTCTGGTAACACTATGAGGCAAATATTGTTATGCTTTATGTTGCCACAAAGGTCCCTTAGACTTTCTTCATTTTTTTAAAAACTCTCTTTTCTTTTTCATGCTCTGTTTGGGTGCTTACTGTTATCTTGTCCTCTAAATTGCTGATTTGATCCTCTGCTTCATCTAATCTGCTATTGATTCTTTCTAGTGTATTCATCATTTCAGATATTGTAGTCTTTATTTTTTTACAGGTTCTTTTTCATGTTTTCTATGTCGTTTTTATTATTTATTATCTTTTTGTTTAAGTTCTCACTGAGATCATCCATTTTTCTTCTAAGGTCCTTGAGCATTATTATAACCATTGTTTTAAACTCTACATCTGGTATTTTGGTTGCTTCCATTTAATTTGCTTCTTTTACTGGGGAATTTTTTTTCTTTTATTTGGGGCATATTTATTTGTCACCCCATTTTATCTCTGTGTATTAGATAAATCTGATATGAACTCCAAAATTTGTCATAATGGCTTTATGATGAAATTGTCTTATTAGGCTCAGTGGCACAAACTTCCAAATCACCTGAGCGCAGGGCTCCAGGAATATTTTCTGTGAGTTATGTGCACCCTTCTTGTATAGTTAACTCTTGAATGCTGCTGGCCCTTTTGTGGTTGGAGTTAACCCTTCAGACTGGCTGACTGACTATATGGGTAAACCTTGATCACCATATATGAGTTGCTATGCAGGGTCTGCCCTTGAGGCAGAGTTGTTGCCAGCATAATCTGGTGCCTGCCAGAATTTATTTCTGGGTGTGCCCCTTGTTGGCTAGTTGCATCAAGCTCCGTGTCATCTAAAGCACACTACTGGTTGTGTTGGCTCTGGGTCCACTTGAGCTAGATTCAGATACAGGTTGATTTCAGACATTGTGTTTAACCAGCTTTGAGCTACCTCTCTGAAGCTACCATGCTGTTCACTGTTTGAGGCTGCATCTACCGGGCCTGGGTGTGTGTAGGAGAGGCCAATCTGTGTATAAGGTCAGCTTTCTCTAGCTTATAGCTGAGGGCATATCTGTAAAAAGACTGAGGCTCCCTGAGGTCTACCTCCACCTGTAAGCAACTTCTCCCTGTGAAGTTTGCCTTTTCTTTTTCCAGACGTTTACAAAGATAGACTGTAGAGTGGTCCTAGGCTGGCCATGAACCACAGCCCCTTTCACAAGCTCAGTAGGGTGGGACAACTTGGTTCAGGACAGGTCCTGTGGGTCCCCTACTTGGGGGCCACTCAGTCAGGTAGTCAATGAAGGGAAAGTGGCCCCTACTCCAGAGTTAAATCACTCAGTCTCTGCCAGAGTCTGTAACTCTAGTTCTCCCCAGAAGGGCTCACTGCAGGCTTGGGTTTGATACAGCCATCAGTCCCCTCTGCAGGAGAAAGCTCAACAGGGCAGAGCCACCAGGATTCAGGAGGACAGATCAAAAAAGTCTTCAATTGGGGTAATGCTGGCCCAGCCTGAAGAAGGGGGCTAAGCACTTCTCCCCAGTCCCAGTCAATAGCCTCTGAGGGACTCACACTTTGAATGTCCCAGCTCTGGTCTGCTCTCTCTTTCCCTTGTGTAACTGAGCCCATCTTGGTGGATTATCTGAGACTTGGCAGGGCTGAGACAAATAGTCTCCCATTGTGAGTGGCATCTTCAAACCTGTAGAAGGGGGTAAGCATTTCTTCCCCTTCCCAGGGTAGTGAGGGCTAAGCTCTCCTGGGAGAGAGGAGTGCCACACACTCCAGCACCCACCTCTCTGGTTCTCAGACAAAAATTTCCCCAGGAGACATGCTCTGAAAGTTTCAGCTCTGTGCAACACTCTAGTCCCCCTTTGTAAATGAACTCAAATTGCTAAATCACAGGGCTGGCCAATCAACAGGTCGGGGGATGGGTACCAGCTGTGTGCTCAAGGTGGGGGAGACCAGCATTTTTCCAAAGCCAAACAGTTTAGTCACTGTCTGAGTCTCTGCCAAAAGCCTCCCCCAGAAAAAGAGGGTTCCAGAAGTCACTGCTGAGTGTAGCCAGAACACCTCTCCACAGGACCAGAGTATTGCATAGTGATCTTGCCAGCAGTTGGGGATGCAGCAGTGCACTCCCCAGGCTGGTGTTGTAGCAACAGGCATGCTTGTCCCTGCGAAGGTTGCATCTGGGTCTCCCAGGCAGTTTGAATCCCCGATAACTTTCATCACCATATGTTATGTGGGAACTTCTTACTATCTCTGTTCCTCTGGGTTGGGGATCCCTGCTTGGGGTTGAGATCTCATGATTCTACAGAAAGGGTGTTTTGCAGCTGCAATATCCCTGGGTTTGGTGGCTAGATCTTTCTGTATTTCTGCCCCACCCCTTTTCTTTATCAGTCTCTATGTGACTTCTTTTGTAAATCCTTGGTTTTAATATTTCAGTTCAGCTAGCCTTTGGTTGATTATTCAGGTTAATTACTCTATAATTTAGCTGCATATCCAGTTTGAGGCCAGGAGCAGGTAAGTGTAGCTTTCATCTACTCTGAAGCCCTCTTGGAATCTCCCAAACAATCTATTTTAGGAAGCAGTCACCTTGTTTAAGTTTAGCACACAGGCTCTGGCATAATTTTGACAATGTAATTGTCAGTGTCTTTGTTGTACTTTTTTGTTTTGCTTGGTTTTTCTGATGTCTCTGGGGCTCCTGTTGATCCTTGCCAGAGCCACTTACTATTTCTGTGTAGGAAAAAATTTATTCTAGCTTGCAGACATGAAAAATGTTTTCTGGATTGAGCAACTTACTATGTTGAAATCTCCCTTGGGATAGAAGAGTCTCTGGCTTGCAGAGATAAAAAGCATTTTTCTGGCCACTTGGTGTCAGAAGGGCTCCTCATCAAACCCTCTTTCCATTGTCACTAGGACTTATCTTTGATCTTTGGCTGCATTCTGCTCAGTTGGGTGTTGGAAAGATACCCAATTGCTCTATTGCTTTTTCTCTAGAATGCCTACCTCTTTCTATATTTTGAGTCCTATTGTTTCCCTTTTCATTATTTCTGGGGTGTATTTATCTCCAGGGAGAGATGAGTTTATGGAATCTCATCTGAATTGTAAGACTAATTTATATTTAAAAAACATCACTTTTCTGCATGGAAAATCCATGGTAGGGGTGTAGCGTGAATGTGAGGAAAGTAAGTAGGAGGCTATAACACTAGTCCAGGCAACAGACAGCTGTGTTTTAGACTGGGATAGCAATGAAAATAGAAGCAAATGAATCAGTTAAAGATATTTTTGAGGTAAAACAAACAAGAATCACTGATGTTTTGACTTTGGGGATTTCTGGCTTGAGCAATTAAATGGCTAGAAGTGTGTCTTAATTGTCAAAAACTTTTCCTACATCCTTATTGGGAGAAACACATCTCTATTAAATGCATGGGTTTGAGCTTACCTTCCCCAATCTGGACCAGTATTACATACTCAGAAAAATGTATCCCCATCTCATTTACCTCTCTTTTTCTCAGATTCATGACCAAGCTAATATTCTTCCAGTTGAATGCAAATTATAACTATTATTGACTGGAGTCCCAAGAGTGCAGTGGGTTTTCAAAAACCTCCATATTAATAATGAGTCTAAAGAATTCTGGTGTTAAGTGCATTGATTATGCAATGGCTTAAAAAGTTGAACAGTTGATTTTAAAACTAGCAATCCAAACTATCCCTCATCTCCACCTCCTGTTATGTTCCTGATTTCCAGTAATGCTTTCCAGGAAGCCACTGACCACTGTAAATCAAGATGAATGATAGGATCTGGCCTGTGTTTTTCTCTTAAAACTTCAACATTATATAGCAACTGAACACCAGCCTTGTGGGTTTCTGTATTTTATGTGCAAGGGGTTGACTCAGAAGACAGAAAAGTTAGAGTCAATGGAGGCACAAGGGATGTAGATTAGAAGAGATTTTCATGTAAGCAACAGGTGTTTGGAGTCAAATAGATGAAAGCTTGAATTCCTGCTCAACTTCTAGCTAAATGTCCTTAAGCAAAATTACTTAACTCTCTCTGATCCTTTGTTTACTCAAGTGTAAAACATAATAGCACCCCTATAAAACTCAGGTGAGTCAAATGCAATCAAGTATTAGATGCTTTGTAAGGTGTAAAGCAGTGCATATTTCAGGTATCATCTTCACTGTCCCTGATGCCTCTTCTGTTCTCCACTTATCATGTATAATGTTAATATGGATACAATAGTAAGGGTGGGCCACCCTAAACCACCCTTACTCTCTTGTCTGTAGTCTCTTACCAAATTTTTGATAGGCTTGAACTTGCAGGTGACAAAGGAATATTGTTTCAAGGTGCCAGAGAGAAGGACTTTGTGTTTTGAAAAGGCCCCCAAAATTGCAAGTAGACCTCTTATATCCCTAACTACCAAAAGAGTCCATGAGATCTGTAGCTACCTTTCCTTGCCAAGTGGACAGGTTTGAGCCTCGTCTCAGTCATCTATTTTCTTCTGGCAACATTTCTTGGCATTCAGAAGACTTTGGCACCTATGAGCCAAAAGAAGGTAGCCACCATTCTGACTTTGAGACTTCTTCTGGGACAGCATTTTCATTTCCAAAACACAAGCTTGAAAACTCCACAAAGGATAGGCAGACCCATTCTATACCCATTTCTCCCCCCACCATAGAGTGCCCCTTCTTTCAATCACAGTCACAACTTTCCAGAGGCAAGAGGAATCATCAAGTTCATTCTGATAGTGTTCTAACAAGTACTTTAATGTATAGGAATTTCTATCTAAAATATGGAGAGGACACTTAACATTCCCTCCGGTGTGATTGTGCTAGGAAATTGGAGGACTGGCTTTCTGAGGAGCTTCTGGGTTCAGAAGTTAAAGGTGCTCATGGAAACCACCATCCACCCACTTTTCCAAAATAGTTTCCTTCCAAGGAGAATCAAAATACAGTTTGGATCTTCATATTTGGCCCCACTTATTCCCCCATCATGCCCATGTTCTTAGTTCTTAGTTTAGATATCAATATCTTTACAGCTCACTTAGACTTGGTTCTGAATCAGTTAGCCTAGGTGCTGCAAAGAAGTAGAAACCTATTCAATGTGTTTTACTTTTGGTATGTACTTTGAGAGATGAATGCATTTTTAGGACTTCCCAGGTCTTCCAAGTTTCAGTGAGTGATAGAATATAGCCATTGAAATTTGTGATATATAATACTAGGGGATTCACCTGGTCTCATGTTCCCAAATCGGGCAAAGAAACTTAAAGAAAAAGAGAAAGTATAGCATTCTTATGTAAATAAATAAGTGAAAAAAAAAAAAAAAAACTCAGACAAGTTTGATTCCCTCCTATACATGTCTACCACCCATGCCCCTTTTACAGTGGAATCAGCTGCTAGTCCATGGCCTGCTAATAGAGCATTCCAGATGTACAGTGCCAAGATCCAGCTGTTAGTTCTTGAGGGACAGAAGCTTAAAGTTGTCATCCAGGATCGACCTCCTGTTGCGCCGTAGTTTTTTTTGACGATGTTGGTACCAGACCACACCAGTAAGAGCTAGAGCAATGAGCAGGAGAATGACACCGGTGGCAATTAAGACAGAAGCCAGCATCTCGACATCCTTTACAGGGATCTCCATGCCCAGCATCCTCACATTGCCTTCTACAAAGTCTCTGGAGATTGCTGCTGAAATGGAACAAGAGGAAAAATGGACACCTTGGCCTGGAGCATACTTTAAAGGGGCACTTGTAATCTACTCCTAGAAAAGAAAAGAAAAATTCTATCCAAATACAACAGAGGAACTGTCCTTATCCCTAAAAATACCAGCTGATGAAAACAGACTCAGAGGTTAAGTGACTTGGAATAACAAAATGTCACAACTAAGAAAGCCCTTCAGAATCATTGAGCCCACAATCCCCCTATGGAAAGAGCTAAGACTCAGAGCAGGAAGAGCTCTGATATATCTCTTCAAATATACCAAGGCTTATGATGTAAATAGAAATAATTGGGTTTGGTTTACATGGTTCTAGAAGGTAGAATTAAAAACGATAAGTAGAAACTCCAGGGAAGAAATTTGACTCACTTTATCAATGCTCACATTGACCATTGGAGCATGACAACGGCTGTCTGGTCTCTCACCTCTTTAATTCATGATAACATTTATGTCACATTGATATTTTTAGGTGAAATATTTAATTGTCTGAGTTCGTGGCATGCAAACTTTTAATGATCTCCACTAAACCTATGGAGTAAAGCTAAGACTCAAGTCAGGCATTCCAACTTTCACAATCAGGCTCCAACCTACTTTTCTAGGCTTATCTACTACTCTTCAGCTACTCATTCTTTGTTCCCCAGAATAAATGATCCTCTTTCAGACCTCCAAGACTTTCTCATCCTGCTTCTTTTGCTTAAAAACCTTTCTTCATCCTCAACTTTCTGCTCCAAGTTTAAATGTCTCTGTAAAGCTTCATCAATTAAGCTGGACATTTAAAGCTCTTTTCTTCTGTGTTCTCAAAATATCTGTACTGTTTATACTCCCACAATTTACTTGTTTGAGCCAAGTTACCTAATCCTCCCTCATTTCTGCACTTCAGTCACCTTCTTTTTTATAAGGGGGATAATAATTATACTTAATTCAGAGGTTTATTGTAAGGTTTAAGTGAGTTAGTATTTAAGTGAGTTAATATTTAGTGTATCACCTGGAAGATAGCAAGTGCACAATAAGTAACAGCTGTTACTATTTGCCTTTTTTTTTTAACAACATATAGCATCTAACACTGCAACTTGGTTTCTCTGTCTCATTCCATTTTTAGACATAAATCTCTTGAAAATTAGTATCTATGTCTTATTTATTTTGGTGTCCCTGACACTCAGAACCTGTTCAATGAATGTTTAAGTTGAATGAAAGAATGTTCTTACAGAAGTGAAACAAGATGAAATACATACATATACATACATATGTATGTATGGTGCTCCACTCTCTTAGCCTCACCTTACCTCTTCACAACCCCTCCAGGATATATCATAGTTCCTTGTTTATCCATTTATAACATACATAGGCAGATCATTAGAAATTTTCAAAACACAACTAAAAACTTCCAGACTAAACTGATAATCTTTAATGTTCTGTCTAGCTCTCATAACTTTTGAATCTTTCTGAATCTTAGTTCAGATATAAATGGGGTGGAGAATAAAAGCACTATTTGGGTTCTGGCTGGTTTGGCTCAGCAGTTGGAGTATCAGCCCATGGTCAGTGGCACGTACCTCAGTTGCGGTTAGGTCCCTGACCCTAGTCAGGGTCATGTGGGAGGCGACCAACCAACATGTCTCTCTCACATTGATGTTTCTTTCTCTCTCTCTCTCTCTCTCTCTCTCCTCCTCCTCCTCCTCCTCCTCCTCCTCCTCCTCCTCCTCCTCCTCCTCCTCCTCCTCCTCCTCCCACTCTATCTGAAGATAAATGGGAAAAAATATCCTCTGGTGAGGATTTAAAAAAAAAAAAAAAGCTTTATTTGGACCTAGGCTAGGTAGAACAAGAATCTGGATTATCTTAAAAGAAAGAAATAACTAGTTCTAAAGAATCAACTGTGTGGTGTTTCACAGATACAAGGATAAAAATACCCTGTGCACTTGTGCGGACTCAGTGGTATTTGTTCTAGTTTTACACTGTCTCTATGGGGAATTAATGACTGTGGTACAGCGTCTTCATGCCCAACTCAGCAAGACTTCGAATTTTCTTACCACTTCCACATTATGTGGTAGGCTAAGACATCAGCCTTCAACTCAGGAGGTTGGGGGTGGGGCCAGAGAGAATAAACCTACTGAGGGAAGCTGAACCTGGGATCCACAGTTTCTGAAGTTTTGCCAAAATATCAGAATTATTTTTGCTAATATTTTCATTCATCTTTCAGTCATGTGAATCCCATATATTAGAGACACACACCTTCCCACAAATTCCCACTATATATAACTACCCAGTCTGTACATCAATCTTCCTACCTTTTCCAATCTCATTGGTGATGGTGGTAATAATGCTTAAGTGTTCTAGAGAGAAAAAAAGATAAGAGGTTAGTCATGTTATTCTTCCCATCAGTTTATAGGCTCATTGTGGGAGGTTGGCCTGGTTAGAGAAATCTCTGTGTATAATAACCAAAAATGAAGTACCTGGAATTAACCAACTTACAGTCAAAGTCAATATTGGTATGTACATTTGATTTTGACTAGTAACACAAAATTTGAACAAGTGCATAAACTTAGGGGTCCAAAAGTTAAGCCCTCCCTCTGCATTTACATATTTATTGGCACTTGCTCTATAATTATTATTGTTCTTTTTGCCACCTTTTCCACCTTCTCTTCAGGAAGCTCCTACATATTCAACCTACATCCCTACATATTCAACCTCTTCTCAGAATATTTACTTCTTCCTCTCATTGCTTAGAGGCTGAGTTCTTCTCTAAGGACTATGCTTCCTTTACATCCTCTCAATAGTGCTTTGAGATTATTGTTTCTCTCCTTTTTGTAAAGACCTATCTTTTTTGAGGCTCATATTATTTGGCTAGAAAAACCATACTGCCCAGGCCGGTTTGGCCAGTGGAGTGTCGGCCTGCGGACCAGAGAGTCCTGGGTGTGGTTCCTGCTAGGGGCATGTACCAAAAAAGAAACAAAAAAAAAACCATACCACTTCTTGTCACTGTTACTTAGCATTTCTTTTCATTCATGGAAGTCTTTAATACCTGGCTCACTCTTCCTCTTCCTCAGTTCTCACCATGGGTGTTGACCCACCATCCAACACTCAAGCCTCACCATTTCTGGACCTCTTAACTTCAACAACTTTTTCACATCTGCTCCAATTCTATCAACTACTCCAGTGGTCACACTGGATTTTTTATGCAATACTGCTCCATCTCAAAAATCTAAAATCTAACAACACCCTTCTATTTTTTTTTGTACTCTAACATTATTTATTCCATTTCACTTGTTATTTCCTTCTCATGAAGACTTCAAGTCCAGGATCCTTCCATTTTTTCTTAACCTGCCAGCTTTATCCTGTCTTTTCCTCTGTTCTTAGTCAGGCTAGAATACATGTTCTGTCACTTCAACTACAAACTTACAAGGAATGTTATAATAATCTTTTTAAAAAGTTATTATAATCTCCTTTCAGATTGTCTGGTGTGCTAAATGCTGGTAGAGAAAAGTCACACAAGTACATTATAAATATAAGTATTCTTTCTGTCCAACTTCAACCAAGTCCTGTATTTCCCGTTGCTCAGAGTAAACTTTTATTTTCCATTTCCCAGAGTAGTTATTTCTAACATTTGGCCACTCTCCTCAAGTACCTTACCAGACCACCTATCAATCTCAGCATTTTTATAACGCATAAGTTTATCACGTGACTTAGGTTCTAAGGACTGAAAGAACACAGAAAAGAATTGTGTGCTTATCTGGGTGCTGGGAAAAGAATTGTGTGCTTATCTGGGTACAGGGAAGCCACATTCTAGCCGTATGGGTTACTGGAGAACAAAGCTTTTCAAACATACAGGAAATTACAGTGTACAATTATTTGTCTACCCCAGTAGGGGTGGGGGATAGTAAATAGCAAAGTTGTAATCTCTACCCTGGTTTTCTAAGTCTGTTTGAATGCCTGAAGATTTCTTCCACTTTATATTCCTGCTGACAGAGTGCCAATGGCTGGCAATCCCAGAATATCTACCTTAATACCACCATTTTCTAAAACCATATGACAGTAAAAACAAGAAAAAGCACAGGAGAAGAAAAAGTATGGATTCCTGTGGGCCCCAGGAAATTTTGTATGGCCTCTTGCAAGGGACATAATGCTAAGAACTGAACTCGGGTCAAAAAGCTTAAGGAACTAGAGACTTAACCCTTTAATGTCCCAAAGGCATAACATCCAACACAGCCTAACCTTCTACATTCTTGGCAACTAACGAAGACTTATTGGTAAAGAAATTACCCCAGCTATTCTCTCTCCATATTAAAAAATGATAAGAAACAAAACAAACAAACTTGTTTTTGCTCTTGGTGGCAACTCTGTCTGGGACAAGCTGTAATTAAAGGCTATTATTTCTTTCTAGCCTTGGACAGAGTTGTTCCAGGACAGAAAGAACTGCCTTTCGCAATCCCCACAAAGAGAATCAATTAAGGAGTGATTATTAGAATTTTGTTTCTTATGTTATGAACTGGACTCATTAGAAAAATTCCTTGAAATAATAAATTTATACAAAAATAAATATATTTCAGAGTAAGAAAATCTACACTAAGCATCAATGGCTATAACCCAAGCAGTTTCATGCTGCTTCAATTGATGAGTTCAACAGATGTCAAAAAAATTAGGAGACAAGAGCAAGGGGCAATGGAGAATAAGAAATATTGGATGGTAGAACACCTGGGGGACATGTTCTGTCTTAAGTTATGGTTCTTCTGGGGTCAGAGGACAGGTGAGACTTTTTAGAATTATCTAGTTTCAGTAGGCTAGACAAGTGTCAGAAGATGGCAGACCTTGGGTAGTTAGTCCTTACCTCTTTGGGACAAGACAGTAAAGAGAGTCTCCATGCCAGCATGGACATGGTCAGTAACATGGCAGTGAATCAGCCATGTCCCAGGGTTGCTGACCACCATCTCTACAACTTCAAAGGTCCCTGGGAACAGATCCACCACATCTGCCCGGTAGCTCTCGCCATTCTGCAAGAGAGATTGGGGGTAAAGAGGGAGTGAATGGTATAGAGATCACGTCACAGTTAATAAAACCAAAAGACTTGGAAGTTCATATCAGATACATGGGACTCCAAGTCATAGACCAGAGAGCAGCTTAAAAAGTCCACCTCATTTATCTTCCCAATGAACCTACCCACACAAACTAAATCAATAGAGGGAACTCTCTGTCCTACTTATTCTTCAAGTATCTCAAAACAAAAGACAGTGCAGCTACCTCTAAGAGGCTAAAACTAGTGTCTCCATATTTTTTAGTAGGCTGAATGAAATCTGGGGAATTTGGCTTAAGCCTTGGCCTTTGGGAAGGAGCCACATATTTTCTTTAGCAATGAAAATCAAAATAGTTTATCCTTCATACATCACCTTTCTCAGCACTTCTAGATCTTTACGCTTATATCAATACCTCCAACTCTGTCCCTTTTCCTAAGACTAAATCTTCTTCAAAACCTACATGTTTTGTTATGTAGTGCCTTAATTGAAATTCTTCTTATAATATGAAGTACTTTCATATTCTGAGACAACACTTTGAAATTTCTAGATCTTTGAATAACTGCTCACTGAGTCTCAAGTCCTTGACTAAGACCCAATCACATTAATTCCTTCAACCTCTTTACCCCATAAATGAACCACTTGTTCTATATCAGAGTGGAAAGCTAAGGCCTGGAGAGAAGTGACACTGGGATACACAGTCAAACTAGAATTTCCAGCTCAATGTTCCATGTACAAGGCCTCTTCTCTTTTAAGTAATCATTATCGTTTTCTTTGTTATTCTCTTCTTCCTCAATGGCTGTTAAAGCACTCCACTGATCACTCTTGAGGGACTCAGCATTCTTTCTAGCTCACCCGATAGAAGAAGCTCTCTGCATGGAAGTGGACAGTGTGCAGGTCAATATCTTGGCCCATGGCTAGCATGTACCAAGCCACTCGTTCTCCTTTGTACATGGTAAGACCCTTGAGGTTGGCATAGAGTTTTCCATTAATGGCTGTAAAAGAATACAAAGTCTTATATTTCTCATTTTGACTTCCCACTGCCACTGTCCTAGTGCTAGTCCCTATTATCTCTGAGGATAACAATAGCCTCCCAACTTCTCTGATTTCTGTTCCATTTGTTCCACCTCAGTCTATCTTCCACACTGGTGTTATAAGGGTGGTCTTCTAAATAACTAATATGACCATTCCATTCTGTTGCTTACAATACTTTAATACACCCCTCCAGCCCAAAAGATCAAGTCCACGGCTCCTTAACTAAACCAATATGGTTCTTCAAAATATAGCCTCAAAACATTTTCCCAGACTCATGTCCCATTATTCAACACACTTATTTCAATTAGGGTAATTTATTCACCATCTTTCATTTGTCCCAATATGCATATTTTTTATGTCCTTTCTCATGTTTTTGATCTTCCCTCCCAAAACCCTGCCTCTTATTTGTCTGTTTAAAGCTTCGTCAAACCTTCACCTCCTCTAAGACCACTTCTTTGATTAGCTTCTCTCAGTACCTCTCATTCTCTGCACCCTTTCCATCTCTGAACATTTACATTAGTGTCTGTTCTGCTTTTTGGAACTCACCAGAAATTGCCTCTATCTTTACTTATCTTTTAATTTGTAGAAGCTCATGCCTCCAACTAGACTCTAGGTTTCTAGTAAGTAGGGAATGATAGTAATATAGTACTATTGTTCCCTTATATTCTTCAGAACGCTCAGCAGACACCTGGGCTTACAATAAATATTTTTAAAAGATTTCACATTTTTGGAATTAATAATGATATTAATGCATGAGCTTCATCATCTGCTTCTTCCTAGGCTACATCCTTTATACTACAGACAATGAATGACTCATTACCATGTTAATGAACACTGCAAGGATTATGCCTAAGACACATTCCTCCATTTCTCATGTTCTCAGAGAGAGAAGGTAATTTTCACTCTACACCTCAAGAGGGAAATAATGAAAGAAACATTTATAACCATCTCTGTTTTAACCCCCACCAGACTGAATTTGAGAAAGAAAAAAAAAACTAAACATGCTCAACTCAGCCTTTTCTGAATCTTCTCTCCCTTGAAACTGTTTGACCATAGAAAGGGGTGCAAACAGATTTACTATTCCATTGTGGAAAAGATTCTGCCCCTGAAAAGAAAGATGGCTAATGTTGGTCATCTATGTCAATGATAGGATAGAAAACTTATCTACTACAGGAGGAGTATTAGCAAGCCCATTTAATTGAAGAACTAAATTCAGTTTTCCCATTAGCCTTCTCAGTAAGCTCACATTTGATCTCAAACATCTCTTTCTCTTTCTCAACTGGTTCATGACTCTGAAAGTGAAGGGAATAATATTATCTATTTGCCCTCAGACCCCAACATTATTTAACTTTATCTCCAATACCAGCACTCAAAATTGTTCATCCAATACCTGATAAACAAATAGGTAGATCGATTGATACATGAAGGCTTTGGATGAATGAACATATAAACAAGCAGATGGAAATGGGCATTAGCCCAACCCCTGCACTAGTAAGATCTAACTGCTTACTTCCTTTTTGTCCTGGGCAATTTATTTCTTTGATTTGACAGGAGATAAAGTTTACTTTGTAGTTCGTGAAACATCTGTTCCAATGTGAATTGTTCATATATCCATCAAGGAGAAATAACTGGGATCTGCATAACAATGACATACTACTTTTAAATTTTATTAAAGTCACTATCAAAGCTACACCTTATGCTCAGGTCAAAGGAATATGACATTGGAAGGGATAGTGAGAAATCACTGCATCCATTTCATTGCGCGGAAGTTCTCCCCGTTGTTTGAGATTTTTCTCTTGTTTTTGAAGAAATACATATATTTCTAGAACAATGAATGGCTTGAATGCACAATGTCCCTCCAAAATCCAGTTAGGCATCAAAAACTTTTCCTTGCATGTAATATAAACCAAGTATGTTACTCTCTGAGGCTCTCCCCACCAATTCTTCTATCTGTAAATTGAAGTTTATTTTAAAAAATAGACTAAAAGGCAAGCTGTCCATCTGTCTATATTGTAAAAGCAGATATCAGATCCAGTATGGTAAATAAATAAGATGATATTGAAAGACTAAATTCAAGATTTTGAAGCAGAGGAACCCTCAGCAGCCAGCTTACAAAATACATTGTCATAAATGTCTCTCTTGACTTCTGTAATATGTTCAAATGTGCTGGTGTCACCACAGAAACTTTACAGTGTCAGTTCCCTGCTTTTTGAGCACATGATCTAATATAGACCACATCAGCTTTGTGTACATAATTATAAAATAGTAGGAGATATTTCTTCCAATTTGTCCTTATTCAACCTTCCTACCTTCCCATCTCTTCAGGAATTATGCTTCCTTAGATAGTAATGTATCTATCAGATACTCCTATATAATCAGTGGGGATGTCTATGGAAAAAGTGTAAGTTATTTTCTACAGACCATGCATTTTATTACTCTCCAAGAAAGTGTCATCCTGTAAGTTAACATGGTCTGGCTCCTGGGGCCCATGGGTTGCCACATTCTCATCCAGATACCAAGACTGGTTCTCATCAAAAATCAAGAATAACAAGGCAAATTCTCGGTCCATGTCTTTCCGTCCTCCATGGGGTTCCAGGATTCCCTTTCTGCAGATGACCAAGGGCCCCACCAAGCCACTATACATGTCCTGAAAATGAGAGGGAGAGAGAGTGAAAGATGTGAGGTTGTTCCCAAGTGGAAGTGCTGTACAGGATGCCAGGCTGACATTCAAGCCCCCTCTGCCCTCAAAACTTCATCATAATGTCTTACATTTATAATCATCTTCACTATGTTATCTGAATGTATCCTCATAACTATCTTGGGACACAGGTAAGATGTGCTATATAATCTTTGTTTTAACTAGGCTACATTATTCATTTTTCTTCAAACCCACCAAGAACTTTCAAAACCCAGTGTTTTTTCTCATGCTGTCTCTTCTTTCTGAAATGTCCTCCCTTCTGCCATATCCCTTTTCGTATGGCATATTGCCATTCATCTTTCAAGACTCAAAGTACATGCAACTACCATTCATTGTGAAGCCTTCTCCAGCTTCCCTCTCATCCATCCCCTCCTCCAAGCAGAAGTAATCACTGTCTTGTGGAGCCACATATAAATATGACATGGTTTTAAAGAGCTGTGTGTGTATATATATATATATAGCATTATACTTTATAATAATTTGTCTCCCCAGCTAGATAATACTTTTTGAATATAGAACTGTATCTTACATCTGTATCATTCAAAGCACTAAGTAAAATGTCAAAAATTCAGTAGTCTCTCAGTAAATGATTGCTGAGATCTGGCTGTGGATGGGTAGCTAGACACATAAACCCATTTTCCAGATGTGGACACAGAAGCAGAATGACTTATCTAAAGTCACTCTAAAGGTAAGATTAAACAAAATTTGAGACTATAAACTAATCTCTTGACAAGCAATCCCAGACTTTTTAAGTGAAAGCTTATAAAATCCAAGATGAATCAAGAAAGAAAATTCTCAGAGCAAACATGTGATGTTACCTATTTTCTTAATTCCTCCTCCTGTCTATTAAAATAGACCAAGCATTTAAGGACTTTCCCCCCAAACCATGGCCTTTAGTATTTCAGTGATGGGATTCTTACTATACCTATTTAATAGCTTCTTTGTGCCAGTCAGTTTACCCATTTGTGAGAATCGCCTTCAGGAAGCCAACATTGTATTTACCTTGATGGGATCTACTGCAGAATAATACATCCAGGAAACACAAGCAGAATCATTGGGTCCAGGGCCAGATCTTTCTGGGATGTTCCATTTGTAAGTAAGAACCTCACCTAGGAAGGAAAATATGGACCTCTAGTTGGACTAGGTCAGCAATTTCTCACAATTCCCTAGTCTTCCTAAGACTATGGTGGGTGAGTTACAAAACCTTTAAGATTATTCTCTGTCATTTTCATTCCAGCCTCCATTTTATTTTGTGTGACTTTGCTCTTCTCCTTCACGGAACAACCTCAGCCTCAAATTTAAAGTACACAATTCAGTGGTCTTTATATTCACAGAATTTTGTAACCATCACTACAATTAATGTTAGAAAATTCATTGTCACAAAAAATATCCCTATAAGCCTTAGCCATCATTCTCTAATCCACCCAGTCACCCAACCCCTAAACAACTATCAATCTACTTTATGTTCCTATAGATTGTCCCATTCTGGGGGAATGTCATAGCCCCACACTCTGAAATCTCTATCACACCATTCTGTAGAGCTCATGCTCTGTGGAGGAATCAGCTGCCTGGACCTGGGGTGTCGAGGTCTGTGCAGACTCAGGGGGTGGTCCATGACTGAGTTATGTGGCCCTGGAGTGGGGGCCATTTCCCCCACCTTCCCATGAGCCTGACCAGTGCCTGCCCCCTAAGGGTAAGTTCACTAGCCCCACCATCCTGATTCCTGGAAGCATCGAACTGCTGAGCTAGAGCTTTCTGGGAGATACAGGGAGAATCAGGGACAGACTGAGTTGTATGGCTCAAGGATGGGGGCTATATTTCCCTCACACACCAACTAGTGCAGAGCCCTCCCTTCACATGGCCATATCTTGGCTGGTTTGGGCCTAAAGAACTCTGCTAGCTTCACACTGACAACTCCCTAAAACCCAGCCCCACCACAAAGATATATGGGCACCTGGCAAGTGGCAGGTAGCCTTGGTGTACCCTGAAACTTTTGCTCAATGGCCTCAGACCCAGAACTGGCACTGAGTTTGAACCTGTATTAGTCTGGTGAGCACTACTTACCCTACCTGTGAATCACTGAGAACCTACCTCATGCAACTCAAATACTGACAGAGGCTCTTTCAGTGCCTGAGCCTAACAGGCAGCCGACAGGCAAAGGCAGGCAAAAGCAGATCTCAGCGTGCCTTGGGTCTTTTGCTAACCTGCCCTTCTTCCCTGGGGCTCAGTGCTGGTGTTAGCCAATCTTGGTGCAGAGCTTAATCCTTTTCATGCACACATAGGCCCAGAGGAGGCGCTCACAAATGGTGGATCATTTTATAGCTCCAAACAAGTTGCCCAGGGATAATCACAGGCAGCTTCTGACATTGACTTGCACCAGATTCCCTCCCAAGAGGCCCCAGAACCAGCAGACCCAGTGGTGAGCATCAGACAACATCAAAGCAGGACACAATTAGCTTCACAGGCAGCGCATGCAAAGAGAGATATTGGCAGGCACCAGACACTGCTGAGGAAAATTTTGCTTTGTGTGGTCAGCACCTGCACAGCAGCATGTACACTGGGGTTGGGGTATTTTTTTCCATTGATTTTTAGAGAGAGTGGAAGAGAGGGAGGGAGAGAGGTGGGAAGAGAGAGAGTGAGAGGAGAAGAGACATCTATACCAAGATCACCAGTGACCTCAATGGTACAAATCTTCATTAGTTTTCTATTGCTGTGGTTACATATTACCATAAATTTTGTGGCTTAAAACAATGCAAATTTATACTCTTACAGTTCTGGAAGCCACAAGTGCAAAATTGGTCACACTAGGCTAATATCAAGGTGTTTGCAAGTCTATGTTCCTTTCAGGAGGCTCTGAGGAATATCCATTTCCTTGCCTTTTCTATTTTCTAGAGGTTGTGCCCACTTCCTCCATATTCAAAGCCAGCAACAACCAGTCATGTATTTGAACTACATTCTGACCTCCTCTTCTTCCTCTTTCTTCCACTTATAAGGACGCTTGTGCTTACAGTGGATCCATGGAACACTCTAGGATATATTTTCCCTATCAACAATTAGCTGATTAGAGACCATAATTCCATCTGAAAGTTTAATTCCTCATTTCCATGTAACCTAACATTCCCAGGTTTCAAGGATTAGGATGTAGATATAACTGAGAAGCAACTTTTTCCTATCACACAATCCAATGGTCACATTTTCTTTTCCCAAACTCCTACCAATTTTCAGCCACATATGACACAGGTGACAACAACCTCATTTTCAAAACACTTGTCTTTTCTCTTTTATTCCAAACTCTCCTGGATTCTTCCCAACTTCTAGTCACCTTCCCTGCTCAACATGTAAATGCCACAGTTCTCCAGAACTCAGTTCTGGACCCTTGGTGTTCCACATACTCCTGTCAGTTAAGTTAACCCCATGGCTGTAAATATATTCTATATTTGTTAACTTCCAAATATATATCTCTAGGCCAAGCCTCTCTCACTCACTTGCTTCAGATATATATGTGCATCTGACTCCTTACTCCAAGCAAATTTCTTATAGATATCTCAAATTTAACTTTGTTCACAAATCTCTTGTGAAGTGACACTCCAAGCCTGGTCTGCCACTAACCCCTTCCTATTCCCATTTCAGTGAATGCTATCATACATTATTTACTTGCTCTAAAACAACAAGAAACACACAAAAATCCTATAAGTCACTATGGATATACACTAATAAAAGAAAGACTAGTGCAAAAAGATATAACCATTATAAATATATATGCACCCAATAGTATAGGTTCAAAATATATGAAGCAACACCTGACAGGACTTCAGGAAGTAAAAATTAAAACAAGAGTGATAGCTGGGTATTTTAATATACCCCTTTCTGAAACCGCTATATCAAGCAGAACCAAAATAAGGCAACATATCAAAGTTCTGAAAAGTGAAATTTATAACCTTAAATTTGAGATCAATATGTACTTGATATCTGCACTACCACCATCAGAGTATTGCTCTAAATACTTGCAAAAATATGTTATAATTTTAAACTGAAGGAGAAATAAAGAGCTTCCCAGACAAGAAAAAGCTGAAGGAATTTATTACTACCTAACCAGTATTATAAGTACTGTTAAAGGGACTTCTTTAAGAAATAGAGGGGGGAAAGAAGAAGAAGAAGAAGAAGAAGAAGAAGAAGAAGAAGAAGAAGAAAACAAAACCAACCAACCAACCAACCAACAAAAACAGAGCAACATATGACCCTGAATAACCTCAGCAATCTTGAGAAAGAAAAACAAAGTTGGAGGAATCACACTACCTGATATCAAACTATACTACAAGGCCATAGCAATCAAAACAGCATGGTACTGGCATAACAACAGACATACAGATCAATAAAACAAAATGGAGAGCCAAGAAATAAACCCATGACTTTACAGTCAATTAATATTTGACAAGGGAGGCAAAAGCATTCAGTGGGGTAAAGATAGTCTATTCAATAAAAGGTGTGAGTAAATTGGATACGTGTACAAAAAATGAAACTAGGCCACATTCTTACAACACACACACAAATAAACTCAAAATGGATTAGATTTAATGTAAGACTTGAAACCATAAAAATTTAAGAAGGAAACATAGGCAATAAAATCTCAGACATCTGTTGTAGCAATACTTTTTTCTAACATCTTGCCACAAGCAAGGAAAACATAGAAAAAAATAAACAAATGGGACTACATTAAACTAAAAAGCTTCCGTATAGCTAAAAAACAATCACCGTCGATTTCCTGATATTAATTTTGTATCCTGCTACTTTGCCAAATTCATTTATTAAGTCTAGTAAATCTGTTTTCTTTTTCTTTATTGATTTTAGAGAGACAGGAAGGGAGAAAGAGAGAGGGATAGAAACATCAATGAGAGAGAACATTGACTGGCCACCTACTGCATGCCCCCACTGGGGTTTTGGCCCATAACTTGGGCATGTGCCCCGACCGAGAATTGAACCAGTGACCTATTGGTGCATGGGTCAATGCTCAACCACTGAGCCACACCAGCCGGGCAAGTCTAGTAAATTTTTGATGGAGTCTTTGGGGTTTTCTACGTATAGTACCATGTCATCAGATAAAATCTTTATCATATGTATCTTACATTACAGTACTTGATTTATCTTACATTATATTTATCTTACATTATAGCACTTGATTGTTATAGGCTCATTGAGTTATGCGCACAAACATAATTCTGCTACTAAGTTTATTAAGTGTTAAGTAGGTAATTATATTACACAGAAGTCCTTGGAGGGTTGCTACAGTGGAAATTCATCATTTTACCTATTTTAAATAATGAAATATAGATTTTCATTATCATAAAATTCATTCTTTAACATGTTTTTTAAAAATGGATTTTTAAAACCCAAGTAATAAATTGCATTTGTATATAAAAATATAGCTTCTTAAAACAAAATGTACGATTTATTGAAAAGCACATGAGGATATATGTGACCATAAACTGTGTAAAAAAAAAAAATACCATAAAGGAATTCTTAATGAATTCCAAAAGATAAAAAATATACAGACCATGTTCTCAGACCATAATACAATAAAACTAGAAAATAATTACAAAAGGATTGCTTTTAAAGTCTCAAAATAAATGATAAGGGGAGAACATAATTTTATAATTCTTAATGGAATAATGAATTCAATAAGCAATTAATCAATGTATAAAGAATTATGATAATTCAAGAGGGAAGACTTCCAAACTCGTTTTAGGAGGCCAGCATAATTCTAACTCAAAAACCAGAAAAAGACACTACAAAGAAAGAAAACTACAGGCCAATATCCCTGATAAACATAGATGCCAAAATCCTGAACAAAATACTAGCAAATCCGATCCAGCAATACATCAGAAAAATTATTCAACATGCACAAGTGGGATTCATCCCAGGGATGCAAGGCTGGTACGATATTTGCAAATCAATAAATGTGATACAACACATAAACAAAACGAAAGACAAAAATCGTATGATCATATCAATAGATACTGAAAAAGCATTCGACAAAATCCAGCACTGGTTTCTGATAAAAACACTCAGCAGTGTGGGAATAGAGGGATATATCTCAACATAATAAAGGACG